GTAGAAATCATCCACCTCTTTCTGTACTCTGAGTTGACATTCAGGGTGGAGGGCCAAGAGGTAGCAGGTGAACGCCAGAGTGTTGCTACTGGTTTCATAGCCTGCCAGGAGGAAGATTACTGCCTGACCAACAATCTCATCCTCAGTCAGCATCTTTTTCTGTGGACGCCTGACAGACGGCTCCTGTGAATGAGGAGGGTCATTTTACTGAACTGTGCCTGAAGACTGGGTTTGCTGGTTGTTGTCACCGATCTCATCGGTGTCATTTGATGTGTCAAAGCGCTCCAATGACACACACTCTTCGGTGGTTCGATCATCTAACATCAGCTGAAGGAAGTCTCTACGTCTCTACGTGTAAAAGAAATAAATAAGAAAGATAGGAAAATGACAGTTTCAAAGCCACACACAGATTTAGGAAAGTCTGAGATTCACCTGCTCAGGAGGCTGCTCCTCTCTCTGTTTGATGATTTTGTGAATGCTGTTAATGAAGAAATGACTCATCTTGTCTCGTCTTTTGTTGGGTATGAACCTCGACAGAGGAGCCATGATGGAGGGAAAAGCAACTAAAGACAGAAACACACAAATCTGCACAGGTATATCAACAAAAATGCTTAAATACTTCTTTGGCATATTCTACATCGATTTAACCTTTCTGAAATTCTTTCTTACAATTTTTTGTGATCAACTTTCTCTTTTAATGTCCTACATAAATATCTGAAATTCAATTGTGTTATAATAATGACTCACAGAAAAGTAACAAGACAGACTTGAAGGTATCATTGATGAAGAACATCTGAGCGTGTTGGACAAGCGGGTCATCTGGGTTATTCTGCGAGTCCACCTGAGTTGCAAATGCCACACTGGCAATAACATCCATGGCAAAGTAGCCAAAGTATCTGCAAAATAGCATCAAATTTTAGAAATATGAACAGTGAAAGAAAAAATACAGTAGAAGTAAAGTAGACAAACTGCTTTCAGGCTTTCCTCATTGTTTATGTATTTACCTGTGGATATCAAAGGCCTCCCCTGACTCAGCGTAGACATGCAAATTCTTCATCAGGGCATCAATGGCTGTGTTGATGAGCGGAACCATCTACACTCAAATGGAGAGATAATGACAGATGTAAGTTGTCAGTTGGGATCCTATGTTATCAGGAGGCTTTTGCAATCTGGTAGGGTCTCCCATGTCAAATTGGTCCTGGGTGAAAAACCAGACGAAGGGTGATTCAGACAACTATTGTCAGTGCAAAAACAAGGGAGCAGTTTACCCTGCGCTGCATAGGGTTACTGGGACACCACCCTGGAGTCATGCCTGTAGAGGGTGCATGGTGTTCCATGCCTTAGCCTATGGGGTATGGCTGGGCGCAGGGTATTGGGACATGGAATGTCACCCCTCTGTTGTGGAAAGAGCCTGAGCTAGTGCTTGAGATTGAATGATACCGGCTCTATATAGTTGGGCTCAC